TGTATCGCAATTCCCTATTTAAAAATTTTTTTTTTTTAATGTTTATTTATTTTTGAGAGAGAGACGGAGTGTGAGTAGGGAAGGGGCAGACAGAGGGAGACAGAGAATCCAAAGCAGGCTCCAGGCTCTGAGCTGTCAGCACAGAGCCTGATGTGGGGCTTAAACTCACAAACCATGAGATCATGACCTGAGCTGAAATCAGACGCTCAGCCGACTGACCCACCCAGGTGCCCCACAATTCCCTATATTTCTAGTTTTTCTCTGTAAGTAATGCTTCAGTGAAGATCCTATTATTTCCTGAGGGCAAACTCCTAGAAGTAAGTTGAAAGGCATGCCATGTAGTTTTATTTATTTATGCATGTACTTTTTTTAAAGTTTATTTATTTATTTATTTTGAGGTGGGGGGGCAGAGGGGAGAAAGAGAAACCTAAGCAGGCTCTGCACTGTCAGCATGGAGCCCATTGTGGGTCTTGAACTCAACCCGTGAGATCATGACCTGAGCAGAAATCAAGAGTCAGATGCTTAACTGACTGAGCCACCCAGGCATGTAGTTTTAAAACAGATATTTATTAATAGTTTCCCTTCCAGAAACTCATACCTTTCTGTATTCCCAGAACGTGTCAGTGAGACCGCCCATCTCCTATTCAACACTGGGCATTTTCTTTTTTTTTTTCTTTTTTTTTTTTTTTCTTTTTTTTTTCAACGTTTATTTATTTTTGCGACAGAGAGAGACAGAGCATGAACGGGGGAGGGGCAGAGAGAGAGGGAGACACAGAATCGGAAACAGGCTCCAGGCTCTGAGCCATCAGCCCAGAGCCTGACGCGGGGCTCGAACTCCCGGACCGCGAGATCGTGACCTGGCTGAAGTCGGACGCTTAACCGACTGCGCCACCCAGGCGCCCCAACACTGGGCATTTTCAATTAATATAAATATTTCCATTTTCATAATAAAAAGATGTAAATTATTTTTATTTACTTGTGTTTAATTACCAGTGAAGGTAAAAAATATTTCATTCTACTGCAATTTTGTTTCATTTGATTATTTTTTATCTTGTTTTATAATTACATAAAATACTTACATTATTCCAAAGTTAAAATTTTAATTCAAGATACATTTGAAATATTTTAGAATTCACCTTTATCGTCTTTAGCCTTTCTCCCCCTTAGTTTTCCATTTTATTATAAATTTTTGGTTTATCGTTTATTGTTTCTTTTTAAAAGTATAAGCAAGTATATATAAATATATCTGCATTTGTACACATGCTCACAAATGTAGCATACTAAACATACTGTTCTGTACCTTGCATTTTTTTTTTTTTTTTCACTTATTAAATCCTAGAAACTGCACTATAGCAGTGTAGGTATTTTCCTCATTCCTTCTTTACAGAAGCCTCATAGTCTTCCACTGTGTTGATGTACTGTTATTTATTCAACCAGTGCCCTTATTGATGGATATTTGGGTTATTTGTGGTGTTTTGCTATTACAAATAGTGCTATTAACATTTTTTAAACGTACGTTAAATTCTTTATTAGGTATTTTGACCAACGTGATTTAGCTGATGAACCATCTTGATGTAGTTGATCTCTCAGGAATGGAAGATACTGGTGATGAAGGCAGCCTGAGTCTGAGGATATACAGTGACAACTCAAGTATCTTCAGCACTATTTGAAGGACCTTCATCTTAACCTGTGCATCTCAACTTGATATTCAGAAGATAAATTGCATTGCTTTGAATATCCAAAGTATCTTTGGAAAATCCCAGCGAGTTTTTGATGAATAGTTTAAACAGTTTTCTGTAATCACATGCTTTTAAAACAAATTGAGTGCCATTTATTGGTGAAGCATCCTGTACAGAAACTGTATGGTGAAATTGTACAGAGGTGCTGTTTCATTGTGTTTTTACATATATACACATGAACTTTTCTTGTAAATGTGTTTTTTGGGGCACCTGGATGGCTCAGTCAGTTGAGCCCAACTCTTGGTTTTGGCTCAGGTCGTGACCTCACAGTTTGTGTGATCAAGCCCCACATTGGGCTATGCACTGACATTATAGAGCCTGCTTGGGATTCTCTTTCTTCCTCTCTCTGCCACTCCTCTCTGTTTCTCTCTCAAAATAAATAAACATTAAAAAAAAAAAAAATCTTGTTTGACTCTTGACAAAAGATAATGGATAAATGTCCTTACTATTAGAATTAAGATAATTTTGATTGGGGTGCCTGGGCGGCTCAGTCGGTTAAGTGCCCAACTTCGGCTCAGGTCCTGATTTCACAGTTCATGGGTTAGAGCCCCTCATCAGGCCCTGTGCTATTAGCACAGAGCCCGGAGTCTGCTTCAGATTCTGTGTCTCCCTCTCTCTCTGCCCCTCCCCCGCTCACGCTCTGTCTCACTCTCTTTTTAACTTGTTAACTTTTTAACATCATTTTCAATAATACTTTTTCTTAACACATCATTTTGTCTGTCAAATCTCTTATTCATATCACTTATAATTTATGTGTTTTTTTATCTATTTCTTTGTTGGTTAGGAATATTTTCTACTTTAACAGATTCAAGTAGCAATGGCTTTTCAGTAGGGGATTATTTTTCTCA